ATTTGAGACAAGAACCCAATGCAATTATCATCAACATATACAACTTACAGTTTAGACCTCCAGTAATGCCATCTCAGAAGCAGATTTTACAGCACATCAGAGCCAAAGATTGATAACAAGCCTCATGTTGTTTATGCAACACGTACAACTAAGCTTGTAGAAAAACCTACATAATGTCAAAAAAACCAGCATAATCTCAAACAAAATCGGCATAATGCCACTTTTCAAGATACGTAATACCCGTGCCGGCAGTCAAACAAGAACTGCTTGAATGATTCTCGAAACATCCTAGAACTGAACAAGGATATAACTCGAACACCAAATTTCGGTTTCTTCTACGCATGCTCCTGATGGTTCTAGAACAGTAATGATAAAAACCCGAAGAAACCTAATGTCTCTGAATACGGAAAATCTGACTTGATCTGCCTGGTGACTTGATAACCCTACTCAATACCCATACATAATACTTTTGTAAAAACGTTGTCACTATCTGATTGTGTACTAGTTGAATTGTTGATTTTTTTCAAAATCTGGTATATTGGAAAATTAATCACGAAATGTTAAACTTAGATCGTGCAAATTTTTGTGCTTTATATTCAAGATAATTATATTTGCAAAAAAAATTCACTCAAAATGATAGTTCTCACGCTGAACTGCTAATTCTGTTCCAAGAGAGAAATACCTTCAAATTATAGATTGACACGATGTTCGCAGAAATTGGAAGCTTACTCCTATTAGGCTGTAATTTCCTGTCAGATGCGCCTTCCTAGGATTAAAATTAGATAGCTTGTGCCCATTACCTAGAGCTAATTAAGCAGCTATTTTTTGGGAACTGATGCGCGGTGAAGCTTCCAATTCTGATTATAAATTTGAAACCGCAAAAATATAATGACTATACAGTATTTTTAGGCTCAAAATAAGTTGATTGGACATTATTTACTTCTATGCAAAAGTACATCGTTAATCCGTTAGATGACGTCAAAGTTTTCTTTTTAAGACAGATATTTTTGGAACCGATAGTCCGATTTCACTGAAATTTGAAGCGTTCGATGGTCTAACTCTAATACCCCGTATCTGCAAAAAATTCAAATTTTACTTTTTCGTGCCATCATGTTACTTTTCGCACCATTCAATTGTACGTTTTGTTTAGTGTTTGATGTTGAAATGTTGAACTGTCTAGAAACAATCTCCATTCTTCTGGGCTATAGTTTATATTTAAAGCCGCCAGTAAGCCGTTAATGTTACTGCAGAAAACCAAGTTATTCTCCATATTGAAAAATGGTTCTAAGTCTTTGTGGCGTTTACGAAAAACACATACCGAAACATCGTCTTCTAACAAGTTCCGCTTCTGCAGTCTTGATCCAAGCAACTCTGCCTTACATTTTGGAAGTTCTAAATCTCTTACAATATCATTTAATTCTGACTGTGTTATTTTGTGCGGTTGGTGGCATGACGTGCTCGGTATAAAATCAGGATCTCTTGACGTTGATGGCATATCTTCTTCCTGACGAACCACTCGATCGCCATGATCTGATTCGTTTTCTGATTCGCAAGTGTAGGATTCTGGGGGTTTTGGAATAGGATTTTCGTCACTGTGAGGCACAGGTCTAATCGCAGATGGTATGTTTGGGTAGTTAATAACCGATTTTTTTTTCTTGGACATACCTGTGGCTTGCCCAACACAAGGTACCATGCAAAAGTAACAATCATTAATATGATTTGTAGGCTCTCTCCAAACCATTGGGGTAGCAAAGCGCATAGACCGTTTTTTGCCATTTAACCAGCTCCTCAGACTTGAAGCACATGTATTACAGCAGATGTGGGGTGCCCACTGTTTGTCTTGATCACCTAGTTTACAACCGAAATAAAGCTGATATGCCTTTGTTATTAATGGAGTAATAGACCGTCTCTGAGACGCAAAAGTCACATCACCACACACGTAACAAAACTGATCTGGATTGTTTACACACTTTCGAGACATCTTGCATGAACGCTGTCAGCCAACTGAGGAAAAAATGGCTAATATAAAACAATATAATGTACACGTATGTATAACGTAACACAATCATGCCGATTACATCATCTTTCCTTGCCGAATATAAAAATGTAGCACGTGCATTCTTGTGAATTACAGTATATTAACACTGTCACAGCAGGAACACATATAATTACCGTATCTCTTAAACTTGAACTAATATTGAAAAAATAAGTTTCATTCCGGTTTTAGCACATTAAAAATAGTAATACATATTTTGTTGATTTCATTTAGGATATTTTTTGGTTGTTGATTAGTGTTATTTGTATAAGTAGTGACGTAATCATTATCTAAATTTTGGTTTTTTGAAATAACTAAAATTTGGTATTGTCAATTTATGGACACATTTTACCTTTTTAGACTCAGAATTGAAACCTCTATTCACCTATGCATAAATTCGATATGTCATCTACAAGAAAAAATAAAGTTAATAATCGAGAACAAGATACAAAACGTCGTATTGAAGTAGATTGTTGAGGAGAAAAAGTGGCAATGTTAATGTACACTTTATTTTGTAATCTCATCTCAAATAAATTAGGGAAAAAAAAAGATTTTGTGAAAATTTTGTTTCATTCGCCTTTCACCGGAAATACTCGGAATTGCGGAGCTTTCTAAGTACCGTGTTCTCAGTTACTCAACCGACATCGTATCTCTTATCGTTTCCGAGATCCTACCGTTGAGAAGCGAATTTGAAACACTGCACTGTAATCGGTGCCAAAATTAATAGAACTGCACTGAAACAAGAGTTTTTCTGAAAATGAACTATTTTATCTGTGTCAAGCAAGAGTACATTCTTTCAGCTTAACAATCAGATTTTTCAAATATATCGTCGTTGACCCAATATTGTACAGGGTGTAATAAATCATCTCTATTGCGTTGATACTTGTCTGTCCCTGGCGATCCAAATTAGTTAATTGTTTTACATGACAAATATCAACTGAACACCCTAGTGGTTACTAAGCTGCCAAAGGTTCGTTAAATTATTCAATCGTTCAAAAATTAGTCAAGAAAAACTGCTTTCCAGTAGCGTGCTTTATGGGCCTGGGTCTCCGTGGGGGAGCCCCGCATAACATTTTTGTTGAAGTTTTAGGAAAAAATGGAAATTAATTAATATTTTCAGAACCGCTTCATATATTTCACTGATATTCAGTACGTAGTGAAAGTTAATAAAGTTGCATATTTTTCATTGCAATAATAATTTTTAGCTATAACAGTGGCGCGCGTATGGGTATTGACTTCGATATTTGTTAAGAAAAAAATGGTACGCCAATGGTTTTTTGCCAAATAAAAATTATTTTTAAATTCCCCGTTTAATTTAATACAAATGATCTCTCTTGAATTATTTTTCTTCGATGCGCCATTTTTGAGTAAAAAAATAAAAACCGCTCTATTGTCTAACTTGCAAAATTATTATTAATTTAATTGAAAAAATTAAACACGTTAGGGGTAATGAACAACAACAACTGGCAACATAAACATAACATTAAAACCAACGAAATGATTACAAAAATTGTTGAAAATGGCCCCATTCACTTAGTATGCATGCTTCCGCCCTCCTTCTCATGGAATTGCGCACTCGTTGAAATATCCCTGGAGTGTTTTTTATTCTATCACAAGCTGCAACTATTCTTTCTCTTAATTGCTCTAGTGTTAATGGGACATGTGTATACTAGTGTCTTAAGACAGCCCCACAAAAATAAATCTATACTGTTGAGGTCTGGGGACCTTGGTGGCCATTCTTATTTTTTTACTCAAAAATGGTGCATCGAAGGAAAATAATTCAAGAGAGGTCATTTGTTTTAAATTAAACGGGAAATTTAAAAATAATTTTTATTTGGCAAAAAACCATTGGCGTACCATTTTTTTCTTAACAAATATCGAAGTCAATACCCATACGCACGCCACTGTTAAAGCTAAAAATTATTTTTGCATTGAAAAATATGCAACTTCATTAACTTTCACTACGTACTGAATATCAGTGAAATATAAGAAGAGGTTCTAAAAATATTAATTAATTTCCATTTTTTTCCTAAAACTTCAACACCCCGAGTTTTTGTAAGTAAACATTTTTGGGCCATAGTTTATAAAGCAAACTAACATTATTTTTTCGTGTAGATTCACATCCTTAAATATTCGCATGTCATTAAGGAACACTCTGTATACATACGAGAGTTCGACATGTTATTCTGGGACACCTGTATGAAAGACCAGAATATCTAAAAATCAGACTTTTTGGGGATCTAAAGGAGTATCTCGATAATAGTACAAACTATTATCTGTTTGACGAAATTAATATGTCAGTGTATCCAACAAGTATCCAGATTCTTTCGTCATAATATAACCTTCGGAGTCTCTTCAAATTGAGAAGTAGCTTATCAAAATCACCAAGGAACAACATTTACTCGAAGTAGTAAAAAGAATTGTTGTTGTTTTGTAATAGTCTAACTACATTTTAATTGTTTAATTATCATTCTATTGCTACCGTCTCAACCAATAAATACTGCATGTTTTCTTATAGCAATTCCATGAAGCATGAGAAAATGATTTTTGATCACGCCTTAGCTTTAGCAGAATTTCTGCTACATAAATGTAGATATTCTAATGACACCTTTATTTTATATCTAGACGAAATCTGGGAATCAATCACGAATATGCAAAGATTCATCGGCCACAATGCTCAATGAATTACCTTGAAGCAGTATCCACTGAATTTGTGGAAAAGTCCAGAAAAAACTTTTTACGATCAATGCTACCATCAAAATACGAAATGTTGGGCAATGGCCAAGTCACAACCTTGAAACAAAATACATCTAACTGTATCTACTAGAAGAAGACGTCTATACAAAGGTGCAAGGCCGTGCATAGTACATGAATCTACAGCATTCAACAATTCTAAAAAAAAACTAGCAAAACTACAGCAGCGAATTTGCTATCGATCGATTGTCGGCATACACGTGCTTGCTACCTCTCTCGAGAGAACCGGAGCGAACGTGCAATGACAGCCTCCGGGAGATATTCCGGGAGTGTGCAATGATGCAAAAATGGATGGTGTATATTTACTGTGTGTCAGCGATGGCTGCGGGTTGGATTTTACGTGTCCATGTTAAAGAAAGTGAAGATAGCGGTCCACAGTCCAGTGGGAAACTCGCGAGCCGCGGAGCGTTTGCGCGAGAATGATGGCGAACGCTCGGCGACAAAGCGACGCCGACGGTGGAAATACGCTGCGACGGCGCGTCGTACGGAAAGGGCGGGTGTCGCGGAGTGCACAGGGACGGATTTGACCTTACAGTACGAAAAGTGGCTCTTGGAATAATCAATCGAGCTTGAATGAATAAATGAATAACGAAATTAGAGGCATACCGCGCGGTTATCATGTAAATAACCTGTAAAACGTCAAAAAAACCTATAAGATGTCATCTTGCAAACTAGGTAGTTTTTAGGGCGCAAACAGTCATTCCACGATTGCTCACTAGGATCGTTAGATACGTGATGATGTCTTAAAGAAAACCTTTCCGCATACCACCTGCATGCTGCGGCTGCATTTTATTGGCACTCTTCGTATTATGTCCACTAGTTCACTTTTTTCGTAAACATGGGCAATTTTTTGGCACAAAATAACACTGGTCAACAAAATTTTAACTTTGTCGTGCCACACGGACTTTTTTGATATTTTTTACTTTAATTGGTGATTGTAAGAAAAAATAAACAGTTAAAAAAAATTTGCTAGACAAGGATTTTATTCTATTGAGTAATTTAAAATATTAAGAAAAAACACAGATCTCGTAAGTCAAAAGTTATTTTTTTTATAAATGACTTAATAATCTAAGATTTTCTTGAATATTTAGCTTCTGGTTGGTCCCTTTTAATTGTCCAGCAGTAATCTGCTAACATATTTGGGCTCCATTTGCCCTGGTACCGCTTTTCCATATTAGAAATGTCCTGATGGAACCTCTCACCGTGCTCGTCGCTGACAGCCCCTAAATTGTCAAAAAAAAATCCAGGTGCGAGTCTAAAAAATGGATCTTAAGTGACATGTTGCAACCCAATGCTTGATATGACAATAATAGCTCGCTAACCAACTCTCTGTAGCTGTCACTCTTGTGTTTACCCAAAAAATTTGAAACAACATTTTTAAAAGCCTTCCATGCAGATGTTTCTAAATCGCTTAATTTTTCTTCAAATCTTGAATCTTTTATTAACTCCCTAATTTGAGGGCCAACAAAAATACCCTCTTTTATCTTTGCATCACTTATTTTAGGGAATTTTTCTTTTAGATACAAAAATCCACTTGCCTTCACAAAATTTTTTATTAATCCTAATTTGATATGCAATTGTGGTAGAAGCACATTATTTGGCTGTACAAGGGGTAAATACTTTACATTTTTTTGCCCAGGAACTAACGATGCACGCGTAGGCCATGTTTTTTTTATATAGTGATTAGTTCTGTCTCGGCTATCCCATTCACATAAAAAGCAGCAAAACTTTGTATAACCCAGCTGAAGTCCAAGTAATAGTGCAACAACTTTAAGATCACCGCAGATTTTGAAGGAATATGTACTGTAATTTATTTTTTCAAGTAAAAGTTTCATATTTTCATAGGTTTCTTTCATATTTGCAGCATGGGCCAGAGGTACAGACGGAAGCTTATTTCCATTATGCAATAACACTGCTTTTAGACTTGCTTTCGAAGAATCAATGAATAAACGCCACTGAGAGAGATCAAAATCTATGTCCAACATTTTCATAATCTCATTTATGTTATTGCAAAACACCAAATCTCCATCCTGAGAAAAATACGTTCTGAAGTGTTGATCACGGTTTCGAAAATAGCTAACTTTTGTATTATGATGTAGCAAATTCCATTCTTTTAGACGTGATCCTAATAGTTCTGACTGCTTTTTTGACAAATTTAAATCCCGAACCAAATCATTTAGGTCTCCTTGAGTTATCAAATGTGGCTCGTTTACGATTCCTTTTAACTCAAAGTCATCGTCCTCGTCAACACATTCACCTGAAGTGGACGGTTGTGAATTGTTCTCAACAGACGTAGTTGCAACTGGTATTAGTTCTGGCAATTTTTTACAATGAGAGACTGGTCTTATAGCCGAAAGTTAGGGTAAATAACTGTGGTTTTTTTCTTGTAATTTATACCTTTTATGTCTGTGAGACAAAAATAGCAATCTGAAACGTGATCTCGCTGTTCAGTCCATATCATGGGTACAGCAAACGGCATAGGTCGTGCACCTTTCTTCCAGTCAGTTAGATTTTTCACACACGTTATGCAACAGACATGAGGGTCCCAGGATTTGTCTTGATGGGCGACAGAAAAACCAAAACATTGGGGATAACACTCCAACACAAGATTCGTAAAATTTCGTCGTTGTTTTTTAAATGTTAATTCTCCGCAGACATAACAAAAAGAGTTAGGATCATTATTACACTTCCTCGACATATTCACAGGGTTAATAAATCACAAAAAAGTGTTCAAATTCAACAACAAATATTTTTATAAGGATTTACTTGTAAGCGTTTCTGTTAATTTACTGCCTTAGTACTAGTTATGAGTATTACCGTATCATCACAACAAATATGAGGCTAATAGACATATGACAGCTGTCATGTAATAATGAGGGTAGACTGATAAAACAAAATTAGCTGTCAAAGTTCGTGTGGCAAAACCAGTGTTGACCAGTGTATATATTATAACATTGATACGACTGATCGAACCAAAGACTCGTACTGAAAACCATACAGTAACACAAAAAAAGTTACCAAATTTCGATAAACGAGAAGAGTAGTAAATCAAAAACGCTAAGATTTTACACGGCAGTGGTCGAGAATATCAAAAAATCTGTGTAATAACATTCTTATTTTTTAAATTTTTAATCTACTACTATTTCTTTTATTATGCACCTTTTATATGGGTGACAAATCGTATAATTTTTCTGTAGTTTGAGAGACATTTTACAAGAAATCGACCATATTCATTAGACGTCAAAGACGTCTTCTCATTAGTTGAATTTGTGACCCACGGGCTTTTTTGAGCCCTGGCTTAGTAAAATCAGGCTTAAGAGTCCTTCTGTCAACCCGCGCTACTCTGAATGCGGCCCTGAATAAAAATGTCGGACTATGCTGAAAACGGAAATCACTTACCTGTTGGAAAGGAGAGGAACAACGGGGTTATACATATAGGATTAAGGACACAGGCAACGGATAAAAGGGACGAAACCATAGGTGCCGATTTTTTTATCTGAATGCTGCATTTTGTTCAATTTCTAAAATTCTAAAATATTCTGGTCCCATTAAAATAAACGACAGATTTATTTAGCATGATTGCTACAAATACATTATTTTAAAAAACTAAACTATTACATAACATGCAGATATTTAGAAAAAACAAAATTTGAATCTCTAAGAATGTTGACTTACAAGTGTACTTTATATCATTATTTAGTTTATTAAATTTAAGTAATCCTTTCTGAAATATTGATTTGCTAGTTATATTACTATTGCAATTTTGTAAATGAAAATCGATATTTCCTCTTGAATAGTCATTGTGGTAATGATTATTCGATTATATGTAGTGTTCTAAATATTGAGGCAAAACATGATTTTTTATTTTAAATAGGAACCAAATGTGATATGAAATTTTTTAAATTCAACCACTGCAGTGATTCTTGTAACACAGATTTTATTTTGGTGTACTTATTTTTATTCAATATTATTCTCATAGCTTTATGCACGACTTGCAATTTGGAGAATACAGCTTTATCGGCAGTGAACAAGATAGTTGAACAATATAGTAAATGCGCTAGAATAATTGTATTATAAACTATGGGGTTGTCCAAAACAGACGCAGGAAAGTAAACGCAAATTAAAAGAAGAAAGATTGATACTCAAATCAAGTTGGGTACTTTATTTTGAAGGTTCATTTATACCATTTATGTATGAAAAATAATATCAAATGATCACCACGACTGGATTTACAGACGTCCACGCGATGGTCGAAATTTTCAATGACATTTTGCAACATGGTCGGTTCTATGGCATTTATCTCGGCAATGATGTTGTTTTTGAGTTCTTGGAGGGTGGCTGGTTTGTTGACGTAGACTTTGCTTTTCAAATATCCCCATAAAAAGAAGTCCAAGGGAGTCAAATCGCACGATCTTGGTGGCCATGGCACATTTCCTCTGCGCGAAATCACGCGATCACCGAAGAAGGACTGCAATCGATGGATATTGACGTTGGTTGTGTGGCATGTTGCACCGTCTTGTTTTAAATAAACATCGTCCATATCCATTCCTTCAAGTTGCGGCAAAAAATAATCCTCTATCATCACGTGATATCGCTCAAAATTGACGGTAACGGCGTCCCCGGCCGCATTTTCGAAAAAGTAAGGTCCGATGATGCATTTTGACCACAATGCAAACCACACAGTCACTTTTTGAGGATGCATCGGCTGCTCTTGATACTCACGGGGATTTTCGTTCGCCCAGATGCGGCAGTTTTGCTTCTTTACCGTCCCATTCAAAGTGAAATGCGCTTTGTGGCTGAACATGATTTTTGATGAAAAATTGGCATCAATTTGGCGGTGTTCAAGGAGCCAATCTGAGAACGTTCGGCGCGAAAAATGGTCGGCCCGACGCAGCTCTTGCGTCAACTGGATCCTGTAGGCATGTACATTCAAATCCTTGTGGAGAATGCGGAACAAACTGGTTCTCGAGATGCCCAATTCTTGGGATCGACGCGTTGTTGATTGTTTCGGATCGTCTCTCACACTCTCCTTCACAACAGCAATATTTTCCGGTGTGCGAACGCTCCTTGGCTGGTCAGAGCCTGGCAGATTTGCCACAGAACCTGTTGCCTCGAATTTACGCACCAGAGGACCGATGATTGTTTCATTTGGGTGGTTGTTGTGACCGAAATGTTCACGAAGCGCGCGAAACGTGTTTTTTATTTTTGCACCATTTTTGTAGTGCTCATGAATAACTTTAATGCGGTCTTCAATCGAATACGACTCCATAGCGATGAATGGTAAACATTCAACTAACAAAATGACATGTCGGTGACAGAAAACAAAGATGGCGTCTATGTCAAATTGACGTTTACTTTCCTGCGTCCCTATTGGACAACCCTTTATTTTTTTTGGAATATGTACCAAGACTAAGAGAAGT